GGATAATCGTGAGAAACACCATCACCTGACTCCACGTGAACAGTTCTCTAAGACTGATGGAGTTAACCGCTCCTGGGTCCAAATTCTCCTTCAGTTAAACAGTCCAGCTGTTGTTGTGAGTGATGTGAGATTTTAAGGTGGGGAGAGGCAACACCGTCATGGTGAAAATAAAGCACAAACATAAAAGGTTTACGCTGAATGTGACATAATAATCAGGATGATAACGTTGGATTATCATTCCCGGTTCACCGCCATGACTGAAGGTGGAGGCCGGCAGAGGAGGAGGTCTGCAGGCTGTGAGATGACTAACAGCAGCCCGACGCTGTGAGATGATCCGCCGCTGTTTACTGACTCTGACAGATTCATTAATTATGGGGGATTAGTCGATGCCATTATTGATTGCTACAGGCCGGGGCCGACAGTCCTCGAGCAGAAACTCTCGGTGCAGAGGGAATGCGAGTATCATGGAGAAACCTTCATCTCCATCAGGGAAAGAGCTGCTGAAGCACTGACATGCAGTAAACTGGCAGCTGACGGACGTCATCCTCAACCTCCAAACAAACCCACGGATCCTTTCAGCTGCCACTCACTCCTGTGTTTTTGTGCACCACCTGTTTCAATTTAATGTTTTTTTCTGCTCTGAAGGCGTCGAGCTGTTCAACTGAGCCGAGCGCAGAGGAAGACGAGAAGAATAACCAGTGTTGGAGTCGGGCTGCGTGCACGCTGTCATTCCTACATGCAATTATGTAACTTCATGGCGCTGGTAAAGCCACGGCTTGTGTCAGACATGGGTGACTTTACGCTCGTGTTCCCTTTGTTAGTAAAAGAGCAGCGGCACGCTTCACCATTCAGCCTTTGAAAGATGAGACTGGAGAGAACAGCAGGAAAACAGCAAGACAAAATAAAACTACACAACCTCAAAGAGAGGAGACGACCTCAAGAATTTCTGGTTTGTGGCTAAAAAGTGAAGATTTTTAGCAGTAAATGAGATTTCTCTTAGTTTATGGATAATCGGCAAAACTGTCTTTTCTCCAGAGAACAAACAGTTTGTGCATCAGTCTGCAAACATGTTTATTTGTGCTACAACGTTTTAACACGGGGGCCGACTCACTGCTGCCTGTGCTGGACGTCACAGGAACTGAAGCATGCGGTGCTGCCATGATCATGTGGTATGACTAAACACTCAGATTTGAGCTGCAGTTAAAACTTCTGAGAGACTTTTTCTGCCCAATTAAATGTCTGAAAAGGTCAAAAAACACAAAAGACATTAGAGCAATCAGCTGATTCAGCTGTGACTCAGAGTCGGGACACGCAGCACGCCGTTCGGTCTGCGGCTGTTGAGTCGTCTGGAAAACGAGTCTTTATGAAGACAAATGACCTCTAAACTAACAGAGTTCAGTCAAGCATCTGCTGCTGCAAACTGAGTGTGACTTTGAAACAGGACGATGACACATGGCGTCTCTGAGGTCCAGGCAGAGCTGAGGAGGAGGAGGAGGAGGAGGAGCAGCTCCAGGATGTCCACTAATCCCAAACAAGGAAGCACGACGGCAGCCATACAAATGTCAGCAGCTCCATGCCAGAAGACGCCCGGTGCTCCCTCTGATGGGGCGCAGCTGGAGTTTGAGTTTGTGTGTTTGTGTAAGTGTGTGTGTCTAGCAGGGTGTGTTTGTGTGGAAGAGTGGGTGTGGCAGTCAGGGCGGCGAGGGGGCAAACAGTGTGCCTTTTATTACCCATGACTATTTAAAGATGCCCTGCAGAGCCGTGCAGGCCGAGTCTCCAAATGTCACGCCAGGATTTCTGTACCAACACATCCTGACAACTCTAACACAATAAACAAGATGACTCCGAGCTCTGCACACACTCCCACAACACCCAGGAAGGCTGAAGACGTACAGCAAACCTGGATGGGTATAAGTACGCAGGAGCTAACGAATAAATGAGAGAAAGCCCCAACTGCCAACTAATACCCACAAAACAACCCAAAAAAGATTCAAGACAAGCACAAAAGAAAGACCGAAAACAAGAGCCAAAAAAAGAAGAAAACAACCCGAAGACAAACAAAGTGACCCAAAAAACAAAAAAATAATGAAAAAGAGACAAAACAAGAGCACAAAAAGTATAAAAAGGCAACAAATGACATTTCTTTCCTGTGCCGAGGAAGCTACAGACACGCACCTCGATGCTGAAGTAGCCTCGGTCTACGTAGTCCCCGAGGAACAGGTAACGGGTGGTGCTGGGGGACCCACCCACCTCGAAGAGCTTCATCAGGTCGAAGAACTGACCGTGGACATCTCCGCACACTGCACATACAAACACAACAAGCTCAGCGTTACTACAGCCGCTTTCAGACACAGGCTGAGCTGAGAGGAGGATGATTATGAGCTGTCGCTCATGCAAAGCTGTAACATTAGCGTTAGCAGACCGTGTTCTTTCATCATTAACAAAGAGGAAAACATGCTGGTGATAAATTCTCAGCTGACATCTTTAAATGTCTCTGCACGTCGCTGACATACCGAGTGGGCGGGGTCAAGGCGAGGCTTTACCTGTGATGGGGGCTTCCACCTCAAGCATGCATTTCTCCTGCCGGAGGATGGCGGCACCCTCGTTGATGATCCGCAGGGCCGTCTCCTCCTCCAGCCGACCCTCCTTTACCAGATGGGCCTTGAGCACCTCCAAACTGGGCCTCCCGTCCACGTACAGCTCTTTGACCGTCAGGCGGTCTCCAGGAGGATACGGCACGGCTGCAGAGAGATGAAAGAGAGAAGGGACACGATTACACTGTGACCTCATACAGAACACACAAAACATTCACCCTTTAGTTTAAAGGGGCTCCATGCTGTTGTTCAGGGACAGAATTGATACTTTTTAATGATGATATTTAATGATATTGAACAGGAACTCGTATTCCTGTCCTGCTGACAGGTGATCGCTTGCTGTAATCTTTAATAAAGGTTGGTCCCCTGTTCGGGTGTTTTCTGGCTGTTTTTGTGCTGTAACATTCCCACGCTCAGATAACGCCTCGTTAGGAATGCTCTTATCATCAGCGAGGTCACGACGTGCCTTTGCAGCACACCTGAGATCACCCGGGTACCCGCGGCTTTGTTTGCAAAGAGCAGGCCCGCTGACTTCAAATCCAAGCTTATCCAGGTCACACCTCAGAGCCAACCACGCAGGCCCACAGGCAGATCAGCGTCAGTGAGGTGTCCGCGGCATGTCGGGGCTCGTCCTGAACACAAAGCAGCAGAGTGTGGCGGCGCGGCCCAGCCCTGCAGGAAATACCAAGCAGCTTATTTCAAGAAAACCCGTCGCTGCTCACAGAGTCCAGCAGGCAGGGCCGAGCTTCTACACCCACGGTTACTAACGTTCCTTAAAGGTGTTTGGACCAACGCTGTAAAACCGCTGCTGTAACAACTGTTACTGAGCAGCTGAGCCCGAGCAGATGCACTGCAGCAGGAATCAGAATCACAGTTAAAGAATATATAAAATATATAAAAGCAGGAGGAGAAGGACACATGACATGACTGTGTGCTCTCACCTGCACGGTCCAGGTCATGTGATACATTTATGACCTGGAATCACCTGTGTCTGTCTACATGAACTTAGTGACGGTGCAGTCAGACAGGCGGGTCAGTGTGCGCTGTGATTGGTCACAAACATGTATTTTGTGTTTTTATCACCTTTCCCCGCCACACCGGCTCCGACCGCCCAGTTCACCTGCTGTGAGGTCAGAGGCTGTTTGGTCACCTGACTGCTGCGGTGACATAAACACGGTGATGCGAGCTTTGCACCGAGAGGAAGTTCTAAGAAGACGGGAGCAATCACGCAGACACTGAATATTCCTGAACACTCGCTCCTGGCATGGCGCTCTAGTTCAGCACGCAGCTCTGAAACCAAACCAGGCCGCACGTGTTCAGCCAATCACGTCGCAGCTCCTCGTGAACTGGTTCATCGAAGTAAAAGCAGCTGCGAGTCCCCACCAGACAAATTTATCTGCCCGACAACTCGGAAGTGAGAGTGGAGTGTGTGAAGAGAGAGAGAGAAAAACAAAACCACGATTGTGAAAAGGAGGTGTTGCCGACCGCTGCAGGAAGCGGTATTCAAATAACCATCAGCAGGAGGGACACAGGAAGAGTGAAACTGCTCAGACGCTTAGTAAACTCAGCCGCCGCCGCCCCGCACTTTGTTTGCTGTTGAAGCCACGCGGCTGCCTGCCAGTCAAACATAAGCAAAGCAGCGAGCCAGCCCAGCACAGATGGCCGCTTGTTTCTGTCTGTGCAGCCAGCGAGCAAACACCAGCAGGACACACAGAATCAGACCTGAGTGCAAAGAAACTTTACTTAAACAAGCAACAGCAACGACAGAACCCACGGACTGAAGCCCACATGCCAAACATGGAAGACCCCCCTTCCCTTATTTTTATTTTTATTTTTTTTGGGGGGGGGGGCAGCTTCCTGTGGATCTCCATACAAGACTTGGTTTTCTACTAAACCACCATCATGGTTTTGAGATTACATTTGGTTCATTTTGTGCCTTTTTTTTGCACTTTGCATGCAAAAGAAGAAAAATTTG